CGTTATTATCCTGATGGGCGACTCGAGGATACGGTCGTCTCGAGGAACGTTTCCCCATCCTGGTAGGCTATCTAGTACGACCTTTGAGCTCCTGAAGAAGGGCATCATTTGGCTAGTCGGCGATGGCCAAAACATTCTCATTTGGCGCGATTGGTGGATCCCGAGAGAGCCCTCGCGCCAACCCATCATGCAGCAGGGTACATGTCGCATCAGGAGGGTGGCAGAGCTCCTGGATGGAGGGGGCTCGTGGCGCATGGATCTTCTTCAGCTCTACTTCCTCCCGGCAGACGCCGACATGATCACAAGCACCCGAACATCACCGCACATAACAGAGGATATCATCGCGTGGGCACCAAACAAGAACGGTATCTTCACTGTTTGATCTGCCTATCACCTTCCCATGGACGAGCGCAAATGTCCATCAGATACCACCACGAGCAAGGCACCGGATGGTTGTGAAGATCATATGGGGGTACCCTGCTCCCCTAAGGTATGCATCTTCGCATGGAGAGTTGTGACCAATTCACATGCTACTCGGGCCAACAAATTATCACACCACCCTGCCTGTCGCCTGCGCGTGCCTTCTGGCATTCGCACCACGCAGGACAACCGCAACCTCAAGCTCGAATGGATCGAGGTGCCGCGCGTCCCGGCCTCCCTGTCGGCGGATGTGTCCGTTCAGAAGCTCCGCGACAACTAGAACCACTTGCTGCTCCACTCCACAAACTCCCTCACGCTCGCCGCCTCCGTCATGGCTGCGCTCGCGCCCGCCGAGCCGGCCATGCCTGCGCTCAAGGCGTCTGCGGGGGTGCTCCTGGCTTCCGTGGCCGTTACCATGGTGGCCGTCAACAAGATCCAGCCGTCGTAGCTCGCCGAGGAGCAGCACAACGCCACCAGGCTATGGAGGGAGCTCGAGCGCGACGTCCGTGCCGCGCTCGCGCTCGGCGCGTCGACGACCACCAGGGCCGACGTGTAGGACGACATGGACCGGGTGCTCGCGCTCGACGCCGCCTACCCGCTGCCGCTGCTCCCTAGCATGCTCGAAAAGTTTCCCAAGGCCATCGAGCCCACGCGCTGGTTGCCGCGCTGTCGCCCCGCGCAGCCCAAGAACTCAAGGACAAGGAGCTTCGGGCGTCGTGCAGTCACATCCGGCAACGGCTGGACCCAAGATCTTGAGGACGAGATGCGAGGCATCCTCAGGGTCATTAAGGCCAAGGATGAGCAGGAGTTCCTGACGGTGGGCAAGCTGGTGCTCAACCTAAACAGGGGCCTCGCCGTAGCCGGTCCGGTGCTGGCCGGCACGGCGGCGTTCGCCATAGTGTTCATTGGCTCCGGCGAGGACGGGACGTGGGCGTCGGGCGCGGCCGTCCTTGGCGGGGCGCTGGCGGCGGCGGTGAACACGGTGGAGCACGGCGGGCAGATGGGCATGCTGTTCGAGCTGCTCCGCAACTGCGCCGGGTTCTACCGCAAGATCCAGGAGGACATCGAGGCCAACCTCGCCGAGCCCGACGTGGAGCGGAGGGAGCGCGGCGAGGTGTTTGCGACCAAGGTGGCGCTGAAGCTCGGGCGGAGCCTGTCGGACCTGAAGCAGTTCAGGAAGATGGCCTCGCCGTCCGTTCAAGACGAGGACATCAAGGAATTTGCCGGGAAACTCTTCTAATCCACCCACCCACCCACTCACTCACTCTAGAATAGATGACCTGATGAATTCATGAAACCTGTATAGGAATTCCAAGTTCCATTCATTCTTTTGTAATGGTAGAAATTGAGACCACAATTATTTGATTCATTCATTCTTATATTTTCCATACCAATTTGCACGCTATATACTCGCGAGTTTGAAGTTCGAACTGACACTTCAATTTTTGCAATCGTCTGACGGGCAAAGATGCGGTCAACACGCACAAGAACATGGGTTGGAATAGCCCAAGCTAAACACCGAAGGTTTGCGTGGCGCCACCTAACCTTGAGGTCGTATTCTACTTGTAGGCCTAGTTTTTTCTCGTGTTGTGCCAGCCACCATTTCACACTAGCTTGTTTCTGTTCATATAAAATTTAAATAACTCGTTTCCGTCAGTGCATACGCCTGCTGGGGTTAGCCCATGATCATCTCTGAAAACGTCGTCCGTTTATTAAAATTTGTGATTCTATCTAGGCAATTACCGGTTAGACATGTCTTTTTCTTATATAAAAGAAACAATAACTTTGATCAGGACACTAGCAAAGAGTGATAATAGCTCACTGGACTAATTCTCTGCTATTGTAACGTCTGACCGGCAGATGAGCAGGAGCCATGCAACTTCTTTTCCTTGAGAGAGCGATCGAGAACCAAGAAATATTCTACGGCTTCCAAGTTCCATTAATAAGAAATACAAAAGATTGTATCCTACGTCCTCCCAGAAAACAAAAGGGAAGCTAATCTAATTGTTCAGAGTCGACGTACGGCAGGGTCAATTCAACATTTGGACAAACCTCAACATTTTGGAAGTTGACGGCTGAACATGACTGCCATACCATTCCACCATACCGGAAATAGCAAACCAGATTCAGATTCTACGTGCTTCGACACAATAACATCAGTCAGATTTCCGGAATTTTGTCATGTGTTTCTTTCTCGTTTATTTGCTGCAGAGATTTTCAGATCTTAAAATTAATGGATAATGATATGTCAAGCTCTGAACTTAGAAAGGGGTTCATAGATGATTAAAATCCGGAAATCTTCAGAGATTTCGAGTCAAGATTTAAAAGTTTGAGATTGAATTTGTAGGGCCTTGCCCTCGCCCGAAGGAGAGGGGAGCCCTTTCAGAAATTCTCGTGACCCGTGAGGGCCAAAGAGGGGGTTTGGAAATAGTTTTCAACCAGCAATTGACGCGCCTCGGTATTACCTCACTAGCTGCGTCATTGCCCCAAGCGCAAAGATGCCTTCTCCTGTTCGCCCACGGCCCCTTTTTATACCCAGCTCCCCCCTTGGCACCTGCCTCAGTTGCCGAGGTGGGACTAACAGACTACAAGAAAACAGACTGACGCTGTCAAATACAGTAGGATTTGTGCGAGGAGGGCCGAAGTGTGAAAACACCCCAGAGCAGCATCGCAAACCCCTCCTCTCCCAAACCCTTTCCTTGTTTTCCCAAGTCCTCGAATCTGTTGGCATGACCTCTGAATCCCCGACCTCTCTCCGTCCATATGTGCCCTCATAGACACCTGGACTAGATCCACCACCCAGCTCTCCTCCCTCGCCTCCCGCAGCGCAGTCCACGCCTGCCCCGTCTACATTGGTACTACAAGCTGTGTTGCTCGCACGGAATCCGGCGCTGCGGTCTACGTCCGCCGCCTTCGTCCCCGCTCCCGAGTGCTGATCGAGAGCTTCACCTTCTCTCTGTCTCCATCTGTCTGGTGTAAGTAGCCCTCTTTTAGGCTATATATACTAGTTTGATTTCTCCATGGCGTCTATTAATTTTGTTTCTGTCAACATTGCGACTGTAAAATGTTTTCTTATCAAATTATACTCATTTGTGATCTGCTATGGACTTGTGAGAAAGCAGATTAGCCCTCATAAACTTTTTTATTGTGCTAGGATGGAGGAAGATTGGGTAAAAACTGTCTTTTACTTGAAATAAAAAGGAGGAAACATTTTACGTACTATAGTTCTTATACCATGTGCAGGTGCTGGTATGCAGCATTTCCACATTTTCCTATGTGCAATCACCCTAGTCTCGATGTATTCTGTGATTTACAGTAGTAGCCATCCAACATGGAGTGTGATCTGTTTCTTATGTGATTTTGATTTTAGTTGTAATTTTCTGCTGTAGTACATTATAAAATTATACCTGACTCATTTGATTTGGTGCTAGTATGACACGATGATCTGTAAGTACTGATTACAATATCTGTGCATTAGGAAATGAGAAGTCGACATTAGTAAAACCTGTTAATATAGCTTGCTTGAGAGTGCTATTAGACAATTTTATAGCCGGTGCCTCCTTTTCTGTAACCATCAAACTGATCGCGTGGTGAACCTCCTACTGACAAATAGTTGGACACACCACAGAATTTATAACCTCTAGAATGTGTTTCTTTCTCGTTTATTTGCTGCAAAGTTTTCCACATCTTAAAGTAAGATCAGATGGATAATGATATGTCAAACTCTGAACTTAGAGGGGTTCAGAGGTGACAAAAATTCAGAAATCCTCAGAGATTTACCCCTAATTCAGAGCGGGGTTGGTTGGGTTTGTATTAAGCAAAGAGGAAAGTAGAGCCCGACCCACTCCCGTGGCGGCTAGGGTTTATCCCTATTACAACTCGATGCCCCTCTCCGCTGGAAACCCCTGGCTTTATAGCCATTACAGTCCAAGAGTTGGTAACGTAAAAAAGAAGAAATGAAAGTGACAGCTTAAGGTACAGTAATTGGCACCTATAGGGAAATTAAATCGTAGCCGTCGGATAGAGATCTGATACCGGCTACTCTGCTTCACTCCAGTTGGCACAACTACGCCAGTGCATCTCGGCCATTGACTCTTGAACTGGAGGATATTGTTGGTTGTAGGTTGTAGTTATTTTCGAAAGGGAAACAGTAACTGAAGGTGGCATATCCTTCAGATATTCAGGTGAGGTCTGACATGATAACATTAATCTTTTGGTTAATTGAAATGATCTATTTTCGAAATGATATAACCTGTAGAACTGTCGAGCTGTCTGTTGCTCTGTTATCGAATCATACAGATTTTATGTTAAGGTAGCTAGTTCATGTTTTTCCGTATTTATTATCGATGGCAGCATAAACAAAGATAGTTTGGATTTCCATATTGATTTTGTATCTATTCTTAGGTCACACTGCCATAGTACTACAGCATAAACAAGATTCCTCACCAAGTCACACTTGTCGTTCATTAGTCTTTGTAATTAATCTGAGCAAGGTTTCTTACTGCAACAACAACTGTTTACCCCATGATCCTACTATGCGTCCGTCGAAACTGCTGATGTTTGGTGCTCTCATTCAATAGATGCAGATCTTTGTCAAGACCCTGGCGGGCAAGACGATCACCGTCTACGTTGTGAAGGCGAAGATTCAGGATCAGCAGCGCCTTATGTTTGGCAGGGAGGAGCTGGAGGATGGATTAACTCTGGCTGACTACGACATTGAGGATGAATGTACCCTTCACTTTGATCTGCGGCCACAGAGAAGGAAGATGCTAATCTTGATTAAAACGTTGACAGGCAAGATCTTTGCTCTTGAGGTCGATAACTTGGAAACAGTTGACAGTGTCAAGGCTAAGATCGAGGTTGAGGAGGGCATTCCTGTGGACCAGCAGAAGCTCATCTTTGCCGGGAAACAAATGGAAGATTTTCGCACCCTGGGGGAGCATGGCATCAAGCACCAGGACATGATTAACCTGGTGCTCCGCCTCCGTGCCTGACTAGCGAATGCTACCAAGACTTTCTTCCCAGTATGCTTCAGATTCTTTCTGTTTGCAAATTGTCCAGCCATGCAGAAACCTGCGTAAGAGCGTGCGCTAGTATGTCAGACGTATTTGCTACCTACAGGCTACAATCAGTATGGTCGAAATGTATGTCATGTGCCTTTCTGTCTCGCCCTGTGGTGCCTCTGAAAAAGCAGAAGTGAAAGAGCGCAGGCTAATGTTGTTCGAAGAATCGAAGCATTTGCCGCTGCATGCACTACTCTGCTTTTCCGTGTGCTCTAATTTGGTTGCATTCAGAGAAGAATTATGCGGCTAACTGCTGAAATTTGGCCTGCTAATTTCTTTATAGCATGAAGTAGCTTCCTTGGCTTGCATATTTTGCTCAAGGGTACTTCATGAATTTGCACAACCCTGCGGTGATGGTCCACGTACATTACCACATTCACTCTGAAATTGAGAACACACAAGAGCATTGCATATGTTTCTAAATTTTGACAACCATATTCATGTAAAACAACCACAATGAACAAATTTTTACAACCCTGCAGTTGTAAATTGGAGACGGCACTGGGAGTATTTCTTATAGGAAACATGAGAGACATTTTAGATCTTTGTGTAAAAAGATAAAAAAAACCACAACTGCAGCAAGCATGAACAAATTCGCTCGACTCGCCTCTAATGCTTTGGCCTGACACCGCCACTCGCAAAGAACCCTGCAGAATTACAGAAGAATCCTCGTAGTCTTATTTTTTGGTATTCATTCACTAATGAGAAGGAACAGAGGAACGCAATTACGATAACCTGGAGGAATTGGCAGCTAAGAAGTGATCAATTGCATGATAAACTAGTTCCACCAATGACGATAATAGCAAAGTTTTGTTTCCAGCGAATATGCTTTAGAGTGTATCATTGCATTGATAGAGGGAACAAAGATTTTTTTTTTATCTAGATACATGAACTCCTCGTCTCAAATTCAGTGCAAGGACGGCCATGGCCATGTGAAGGGGAAAGGTGTAATTGATGGAGGATACAGTCGGTCCGTGCATAAGGTGATAGTTACCGCCCCTGCCCCATGGCTTTTCCACCAGTGGAGTGGATCTTGGCGATATCGGTGGATGGAGCTTTTTGTGCAAATGAGAAAGATGCAGGGGTGGTTATCCATCCGCGACTCGGCTGGCGACCTTGGCCTTGCAGCCTGTAAATACATGGCTAGGTGTGGAGATCCTCTTGAAGCAGAGCTACTGGCTGCCATGGAAGGAGTGCTTGCGGCGTGCACATACGTAGCAGGGTCGTTTGTCCTCCAAACCGACTGCTCAAATCTGATAAAGATACTGAATAATCTGAGCCAAAACAAGTCCCGGCTAGGCTAGCTGGTTATAGAGTTGAAGGATCTATCCGTCGAAGTGAGGGAGCTGAATATCATGAAAATAGATAGACATCAAAGTAGGGCTGCGGATTTCCCAGCTAAATCGTCGCGCTCAGAGCATCTCTTGGGTGAAGGTACCGTAGTTGGCGCCTAAAGGGGCAACTAAATCATAGCCGTCGGATAGAGATCTGACACGGGCTACATCATCTGCTTCACTTGAGCGGGTGACGGTTCACCAGTGCATCTCGACCGTTGATTCTTGAACTGGGCGATTTCGTTGGCTGTAGCTCTTTTCGGAAGGGAAACAGAATTTATGTAATTCTGTGCCGTCGAGAGCCTTCCCTTGGAAGAAGCCCAGATGATTTACCTTTTTTTTTTGAACATCAGTCAGATGATTTACCTGCAGAGGCCCTACCCGTGACATATAAATCCCCAGTATTCCATCGTTCCGAGCAAACTAACCATCGGTTCCTTCTTCCTCTCTGGCGTCACCGATCGAGTTCAAGACATCAAGGTACTCGAGCAGTTGACCTTCTCATCTCTCTAGACTCGTCATTGGTCTCATCTCTAAAACCTACTAGTACGTACGTACGCTACATCCATACAGCGATGGGTTAAATTTGGGGAGGTTGAGCATGACTGATCAGTCTGTTCTTTCTGGGTTCATCTTGAGAGACGAGATCTCTCGCCGATCTGTCCCGGCACGTATTTCAGAATCATTAGTAGTTGGATGGAGCTTGTCCGTGTTCCTCTCCGCTCCAGTTTATCCATACTGATGTGAACAATGTTCCACAACAAGGCATGCTCATCGTTAATTGTAATTAGTCGGAACGATCGAGATTTCTTGCTCGTGCAACAACTGTTCTCCCTAGTAATTTATCCACTATCGGTCCCTCCAAATTGCTGATGCGCTGTACCCTCATTCAACAGATGAAGATCTCCGTCCAGACCCTCGCTGGCAAGACGATCACCGTCATGGTCGACCCCTCGGACACCATCAACGTTGTCATGGCGAAGATTCAGGATCAGCAGCGCCTTGTCTATGGCAAGAAGGGGCTAAAAGGAGTAAATAGCATAAAACTACTACTTTACAGGCTAAGGTTCCAAAAAACTACCTGTTTTCAATTTTTCTCAGATACCTACCAAGCGAGTGGTCGGCTGTTTCAAAAAACCCAAATCTTCGAGTGATTTAAAGTTGATCGCGATTATGACAGGTCGGGCCTGCACCTAAACGAACTGCCTGTTTGACCGTTAGGTTGACTGTTAACTTACAAGTGGGGCTCACATGTCACTGTCTCTACCTCATATTCAAACAAAAAAAATCTTCAATCCCCCAGTTCTTTTCCAAATTTACAAATATGTCCTCGCCTTTTACAAAACAACCCCTATAAACATTGCTAAAAAGCAATCAGGTCCATGTTGTTTTTCTGAAAAAGCAATCGGGTCCCTGTAGTTTTTCTAAAAAAGCGATCGGGTCCCTGTACATGGCCGCCGCCGCGCCATGCCGTGCTCCATGCCGCCGCCACGCACTTGCAGGACGCCCTCTCCTGCTCCTTGGCCGGAGAGACGGCTGCTTCTGCTGCTCCTTGGCAGCCGCCGAGCCGCGGCGGCCTCTGCTGCTGCTCCTTGCAGCCGTCGAGCCAGGACGACCTCTGCTGCTGCTCCTTGCAGCCGCCAAGCCCCGCCTCGCGAGTTGGTGCGGCGCGTGTCTGCCGTTGCTGGTGCCACAGCCAAGTTGGTGCGGCGTGTGGTGGCTTCCGGCGGCGCCCCGGTCGATCTGGCGCATCCGCCCTGGCCGCTGGACCTGGCCGCTTCCGGCGGCGGCTAGCTGGTGGCTTTTGGCGGCGACGAGCTGGTGTCTTCCGGCGGCAGAGGAGAGAGGGAGGCCGGGAGGGGTGGTGCCGGCTTGGGAGAGGACAGAGTCGTCGGCTCGGGAGGAGGTGCGTATCCTGCTTGTGCCCGAGAGAGAGACAGAGAGTTCAGGGGAGGGAGAGAAAGAAAAGAGAAGGAAGAGACACTGACATTTGGGCCCCACTTGTAAGATAACGGTCAACCTAACGGTCAAACAGACAGATCGTTTAGGTGCGGGCCCGACGTGTCATAATCGCGATCAACTTTAAATCATTCGAAGATTTGGGTTTTTTGAAACAGCCAACCACCCATTTGGTAGGTATCTGAGAAAAATTAAAAACAGGTAGTTTTTTGGAACCCTAGCCTGTAAAGTAGTAGTTTTATGCTATTTACTCGGGCTAAAAGGCAGGCACACTCTGGCTGACTACAATATTCAGGATGGATCCACTCTTCACCTCGATCTGTGATGTCATAGAAAGAGGAAGCAGACACGTGTCGTACGTGGTGAGCAACCCAAATTAGTGAAAAAGAAGAGAAAAATATACCAAATCTTTGTCAACGGGCTTACCGGCAAAATCACTACCTATGATGTTGAGGACTCGAGTACCGTCGAAAGTGTAAAGGAAATGATCCGGAAAAAGGAGGGTGCTCCCGTGGACAAACAAAGGCTGATCTATGGCGGGAAACAGCTAGTGGATGGTCAGACCATGGAGGACTGTGGCATCCAGAAGTTTTCCACAATTCACCTGCTGCTCCAATTTCCGATAGTGCAGTGTATGCGGTGCCATGCATGGCTGATAAGATATGTGCTTCCCGCGTTCATCTTAAGAAGCGAGATTTCTCGCTGGGCTTTCACCGTACGTATATCAGAATCATTAGTTGTTGGATGGAATTTGTTCGTGTTCAACTCCACTCCGATTTAGTATACTTTGATTGGCTTTTTATATAGTACTAGTACAATGCCCGTGCGTTGCCACGGCCCTTTTGTTGTATAAATCTTAATGAATTTTTTGGCCCTTCCAATGACATCGCCTCAACATCCTTGTCGATGGATTCTTTTTGAACATTGACATAATCCATCTCCATCTCTTTCATACTCTGTAAAAATAAATATGTATAAAAACATACCTTTTGTATTATCATGCACAACAAATATATAAAGAACAATTATTTCTATGCATCTCGTCTGATTGTTTAAAACCTAATGATTTTTCTGTCTGGTTCACCATAAATCTTTGTCAATAAAAAGCCATCAGTTTTGATCTTTGATCTACAAAAGTAAACATATAAACAATATTAAAATAAAAAATAGAAAACTCATATACAATATATATTCATTGGTCAGATGCTAAATGCGAGTAGATGACCGTTTTTACTCGGAGTGAGTGACATCGTCCTTTTTAGTAGAGTGAGCCGCATTCCAATTTGAATAAACTGTAAGTTCACCTGTATATAACTTGTTGGTAATTATGTTTCAAAAGAAATAGCAAACTCTGTGATGTTGCTTATGTTTCATTCTTATATCAAGATTGCAAGATTGTTTTCAGTTTTTAGAAATATTGTTGTAAATTTTGGATGCTTGCATTTCCATCATGAAGATAACTAATATCTTATTTAGAAGAATTCTTGCATTTCTAGCTTCAAGATAGGTAATCTCTTATTTAGAAGGATGCTTACATTTCCTACTCACCGATGGACAAGGCAACAAATTTGTTATTTGGATGTTGAGTTTATTTCATATTCAAAATGCAAAGTTTATGTGTCCTCATGTTCACTTCCT